GGTCTGAACCCCAAAGTGCCTCTGCTGGGAGGGAAATGGGTCCTTGCAGCTGTCTGTCCGTCCGGCACTGGACTCGTCTCCCCTGCAGTCCCACACAGCCGTCTGTCTGGACACCCATCCCTCCAGCCATCTGTCCATCCAGCCCCTCTGGCCGCGGCGTGTGCCGAAAGCCCCTTCCTAGCTCGCTGTCCATGCACAGCCCTGGGGTTAACCAGGCAGCAGCTGGCTCTGCCCTGCTGGCATCAAACCCTTCCCCATGAGCTCAGAGCACTTCCCAGCCTTTGTGGGCTTTACCACCCCCCACCCCCAGAGGCAGGGCTGGTACCTCATCCCCTTGTATAGGATGGGGAAACTGAGGCAACGGGCATAGCTAAGCACCTATAATCACCCCGGCAGCCTGGGGCAGAGCAGGGAATTGTTCCCAGCTCCCCATAGCCTGGGCTACTGTCCTTTCTGTGGGTCCAGCCTGGGCACATGACAGCCTCATGGCCTCTCAGCCCAGACCCATACCCATGGGGTCGGCCAGCACTAGGCTGAGGGGGGATCCCCCAACCAACTTATGTCCCCCCAGGGTTGTCAGCTGCTGCTGCTGGCTGGGACCCAGGACCCCAGATGGTGTGCCCCCCTATGCACCTCCAGCTGGGGGCTCCCCTGCCCGCTCTCCAGCTCCCGGTAACACACCTCCCCCCGGTCCCAGCTGCCCGGCCCCGCTCACCAGGCTCACATGGCCCTTGATGTCCCAGGCCAGCTTGTTGACTTGGCTGGAGAAATTCTTGCAACGCTGCCAGTCGGGGCTGGGCGGCAGGACCCTCCCCCAGGATGCTGCCAGCAGCCCCAGGAAGCAAAGGAGGGCGCCGGTCCAGTGCCAGCTGTTGCTCTGCATGCTGCCAGATCCCCGTGGGTTGCTGTGTGGGGTGCTGGGCTGGGCCCAGCTGTATTTATGCAGCGGCAGGTGACTCAGTGGGCAGGTGGGGTTTCCCCGGGACAGCAGGTAGCACCCCCGAGTGATGGTGTCAGTGCTGGCCCCAGCGGAGCGCGATGTCATCACTCACCCAGGCCGGTTACTGCGAAATTGAAGCCACCCCGCGAAAGCAGAAGCGATACCAGGAGGGGGGGGGCAGGGTCCAGGGATCCGCCGGCTCCTCCGCCCGCGGTATCTCCCTGCCGCCCGCACCCCCC